TATTCTTATTTAGTTATAAGTATTCATACACTAATTTATATGCTGCTTATAATAGTATTACTCGCTTCAAGTATCCCTTAGCCTTTTCAGGCTTAAATCCGCTAAGTTATCTCCTCAGATGAAATTTATATTATCTTTGCGAATCCTTCAAACGTTATGAAGAAGTGAAAGTTTTGAATTAAAAGCATTATGTAAAATGATTTGATGGCAATTTGCATTTACTACAATAACATAAAATATTAAATTGGGATAAAAGAATCTTAACATTTTAATGAAAAATTAAATTATGTATATAATACAAGGAACTGAGTCTTATATCATTATTTAAGTAAAATATCCTACTTATCAAAATAGCCAGTTATATTACATTATAGGAAAGCAATGTCGATCTACTGTAACTCACCAAGTTGGATCAAACAGCAGGTTTGTGTTCTAATAGAATCAGGATAGAAGTGTCCAACAAGTACTGTGATGCCAGTTAAGACATCCGAGAGAGCTAGGTTTCCCAGAAACAAGTATGTACTTTTAGGAGTCACCCCTTTTTTCAAAAGCAGTCCAGAAGAAATCACTACAGCGGAGTTAGCTAGCACAATGACGGCCCCGATAATTGGAACAAGAATGTCATAAACTAAGAGCTGTGCCTTCTGATTGGAGGGAATATCGGTAACATTCATAGCTAAGCCGTCTTCAAAAGGACTGGTCAGTTCGAAGTTCCGGGTGTATGTGCTTTTTGATGCGTTGAATTTAGATGGGTCCATTCCAATAAGTGAACTTTTCGCTTCAACCACTAGTTTATACGACGGTTCTTTAAAGATATAAAGAAATAAATTTCATATGTTCATTATACACTTATCTAATTTGTCAGATTTTAATGTAGGCTCATAATCTATACAAAGAATGTATATATATATATATATATATATATATTAGAGATAGGAACCTTGGACCCTTGGATTTGCAGTCCGACTTACTAGCTACTAGGCCATGATCAGCCCAATATATTAGACATAAGAGCGATGATGAGAAAAACTTCACTCTTATAAAACTGTTTCTTTAATTTAGCTTTTAATGGTGATAAACGCAGAAAAGCTTAAACTAACAATCCTAGATACAAACAATATCAGATACAATATACGCTTATTCGTCCCTCTTACGTACTTGGACTATATGGGACTATGTGAAACAAAGCCAATGCGTAAAAAATTATAACGCAACAATTAGTGATTACAAACACTGTAAAAAAAATAACGGAATAAACAAACAAAATAATCAGAATTACTTGGAAATGAATAATTTAAAAGAACACTAAGATCTGAGAAAGTCCTATTCTCTAACAAGAAACTGAAATATCGACATACTAAGTTCTTTTAAAGTTCTTCTATAGTGAAAGCGGTTTGGTATCTTAACAATTGTAATGGAAAACATTTTCGTTATATTATATACACCTTACGTTTAATCACCTTCATCTGATGCTTGTAGTTTTGACACTTTTCGAAAGGTACCTGAAATTATATTTTTTCAATTGTAATATTCACTATTATCTGTGTTGTACGTTGTGACAACAACGATATATATTTTAGTATTTGAAATAGATTGAAATATCTCAATAAAAGCAGAAATAAACACAACCGACCATTTTTTAGTGTATTAACCAAGTTCTTCTCACATCTCAGTTAAATTTCAAGGAAAAATATAGTCCGATCTTTTAATCAAGTGTTCTATCTACTATAAGTGCATGACGCTGGATGTTAAGCTATGACTCGCTCCTTACCTGATTGTTGTCATGGTAAATTCAAATGCTTCTAAAGCTATGTGGTACTGTATCACTAAACGTCCTCAAATGGTTGTTGTGAAGACTATGCTACATGAGTTAAAACGTATTTGACCACAATGTTATTTTTTAGCCAATAACGTGACTTGTATCTGAAACCTAAAAGCAGTGTCGGTACTTGAGAGATTGCATACATCAGTGAGTTGGCAAAAGTTAACATTCTCTAAGGCTTACTTCAATTACAGTATAAAAAATATATTTCCTATACAATCATCTAAGGAAAGGTAAACAATGTTGGAAAAAGTTTTTAAATACCATTATAACACACATAAATCTTCATTACTAAATCTATCTTGATCCCTGATGGCTCAGCACTAAAGCTTGACGACTTATAACGTTAAAATACAGAGTTTTGTCCCTGCGATGGGCGAAGAGAGCACACTGTGCAGTTAAAAACGAACAGAAATGTATGTGTCTTACAAATCCTAGTCACATATTTCCTAGTAATCAGAGGTGGGGTTGTGCTAAACAACAGAAAACATAATTCAATAAACATATAACATTTCCTTGTGCCTGATTTGTCAAAGACTTATCCTATAATAAACTATAATTGAGCTAATTAAAATAAAAGAGTGAATTATTTTTTCTGAAACTAAACAAATTTTTTTTCATTACGATTGTGTGTACGAAACCCTATGTACAAAGATTCGACCGGTTTCTTTTAGGTTTAGAAATTATAACTTGCTGAACTGAGGGTTAATCGCACTTTCTAAGAATGGTTTTATGTCCAGTACTGACCATACATAAAAATACTTCTTTGAATTTTGATCGTACTTGGTCTGGTCATAGGTATCTGATCGAATGGAATTACTGGGATACCAGCTTCTTCAGCTATTTTTCTTCTTAAAAAAAAGAAAGAAGAAAAGGGGAAAAAATGAAACAACTGTTGGTTTCGAACTATGTCTGAAAGCTGGTGAACCTTTGGTTAAGGAGCTTTTGTCAACTTTACCTCATATATTGTTTGTTTGTTTTGTAGTTGAGCACAAAGCTACACAATGGGGTATCTGTGTTGCGCCCACCACGGGTATCGAAACCCGGTTTCTAGTTTTGTAAGTCCACAAACATACCGCTGTGTCACTGGGGAGCCAATATATTGTTAACTGCACCAGGAAATATACCATCTTCTTTTCAATGGCGGTTTGGATGGGACAATTCTTTTTAGTAAGTACAAGGGATGAAAGCCTTGCTTCATATTGACATATTGCTTCATATTCTACATCACTTAACAATATCACTAAAATAATATCTCTCTTTAGATAAGTTATGATGTGATCTTAAGCAAAATAATTTATGGCTGCATTGCACTATCGAATGCTCAAGAATTTGCAGTAAGAATTTGCAATGTATGTCATCACAGACGCCTCAGGTCACATCTGTGGCGACACGCCAATATGCAAAAAAATACAAATAGTTCTGATAAAATGCGATTAATTATCTGATTGGATAGGGCGTGGCCCAGTAGTTTTCGTGCTAGACTATAAATCCGATGGTTTACGGTTTGTTTTCTGTTGTCGTGAAATCGCGCTTCACACAGCAAATTCTTATATAAGTTTGATTATCTTGTAACTCAGCAAGTTATTATAAAGACTACATTACCTTGTAACTCAGCAAATTCTTATAAAAGTTTGATTACCTTGTAACTCAGCAAGTTATTATAAAAATTTAATTATCTTGTAGCTCAGCAAGTTGTTATGAAAATTTGATTACCTTGTAACATAGTTAGATCCTTATAATACCTAGTTCCGATTGGACAAGTAAACTAATCGGTTTTATGCAGTCTTAATCACTTTTTTCTTATTATAGTCGCACCGTAAATCAAATGATAACTTCCTACTATCATGGTTATACTGTTTGAAGACTGTACTTAAACTATTGATAATTATGTTAATGAAGCACAATTATTCTATCCAGAAGATGTTTATGAGTGCATCATTTTCGTAAATAGTTCAAATTGTCAATTTAAATACCCAATAATTTCCAAAATGATTGGCAGAAATTGGTAGAATCTATCGAAACATCTTTTTAAATGTTAAAGTTCTAATATTAAACATTTTAATTTAAATATAATCTATCTTTCAAGATGTCAAGTAAATAATTTTTTTTTCTCATAACAATTAATGTCAAAATCTGATATTACTATTGGTATTCCATACTTATACCCATTCTTAGTAATGCAATAAATATTACGTTTAACTGTTATCTGTTTATAAGCCTTTCACAATATAAAGTTATTCCTTTCACCCCCCCCCCAGTGGCACAGCGGTATGTCTGCGGACTTACAAAGCTAGAAACCGGGTTTCGATACCCGTGGTGGGCAGATCACAGATAGCCCATTGTGTAGCTTTGTGAATAACTACAAACAATCCTTTCAAACTTCGCCAATCATAGGGAATTCAACTCGAAGAAGTACATTTCAGCACTCAACATGTCAAATACAAAAATAATAGTGGTTAAGCTTGAACGCCAAGGTGAAAACAATCCATAATTTTATACATCTATGAATATAGAAGAAAATATAACCAGTTAGCTTATAAAGATTAATAAATAATTAATATTAAAAAACGCACAAAAAACGACGTTCTTTGGCACAATGAAAGGTAAAATGTTTATTATGGGTTACAGCTGACTAACAGAGGCGTTTTTGACACTTCAAACTACTCGGTGCAGTTTTCTTGGGGGGGGGGGCGTTCGTATGATCAGCTATAGGTATAGAAATTTATAATTTGTTTTTGCATTACTTTGGGGTCCCGCAATATGAGGGGCTCATCGGTGCGTTGCCTCGATTGCACCAACTGCTGACTAGTTTCGGTAACATAGTTGTCATCATCAAATCTTGTGTCTACAGTATTAGCTTAGTCTATATTTAACTATAATCGTTAATGCATGAGTTTATTTTTAAAAAGCAAAGTCAGGAGACATGGGAAGGGGGGGGAGGTAGGTAAATCGAAAATGAGGGATTGCTTAAGATAAACAGGTCTTTCAATAGGAGAAGCTAATTGGTCCGTCGTCTCTATTTATACACAGATGTATGTTTTTAAATATGCAAATACTCTCTATGGTTGTTTGTGCATTTCTTAAGATATTTAAATTTTCCAGTCATAATTACTATCACAGTTCCAGAAATGTCCAGCTACACTAGAGGATATTGTGTTACCGTGTTTTATGTCGATATGGCGTTCTTTCGTCCTCGTTTTTAATGTCCTTCTTTTTTATCCTACATACATTTTACTGCAACTCCAACTAATTTGGTAAATCCCACCTTTATCTTCACACTTTTTTGGATCTTTGAGTGTTTGAGAATTTTGTTTTGAGGAATAAACGCTACTTTATAACTCTTTAATAGGAAAGCATTTGCAATTGTTTTCCGAAATCACAGAAAAAAAATGGAATGCTAATTAACTTGTTTTGTGATAATTCTATCGGAATTAATTCTGAGTATTCCATTTGTAGATGCTTGTCGTTCATTTTATGGAAAGCTCTGTCAACAGTTATAGGGGTCATGACCTCTATCTACCGCTACTGCTTTTAAGTACATGTTTTTGTGGTTTATATCTATGAGACCAGAACGTATATTAACAGCATGCCAAATATATGAGTAAAATATGCATAGTTTTAGACTGAAAGAATGGCTAGAGTTATAATGTGGTAACGTGCTTACGGCAATTGTTATCATGTTTTTTAACGAGAACATTTAAGAAATCCAGTTCATGTTCATTGAACTCCATAGTAAATGTAATTCCTTCATCATTATCATTCATGTAATTTAAGAACTCCTTGAGGGTCTCACCATGAATGTGTCGTCCACATATCTTCTATATCCTATAGGTTTTATTAAAGCATTTTGTAACTTGGAATCGTGGTAACTGTGTTACCGAACCTATTCGACTGTAACCTATAATAAACATTTTACCTTTCATTGTGCCAAAAATATATCTTTTTTTTTTACTCTTTATATAGTAGCACAATGTGCCTGAAAGGGCGTAATAAGAAGTAATTACAATAAGAGTTTTTAAAGAATATTGGGTCCAACGTTTTATATCCCAACGGTGGAATTCACTCTGCAAGAATAATCTACAATTTGCCGAACGTTAATTTAAGTTGGTCAGGAGTAGCATATGTAGCATATAAAATATTGAAGGAGCTATAATCTATATGTTTGGAATCAGTGTTTATATATATATAGTACTTACCAGCACCCTCGTAACGAACGTTTTCTCAAGGGACATTGCTACACTTTAATCTCTATGACATTTGTTCAACTTCTCTCCTATTAGCTCCGAACACTGTTCTTGTATAATGTTTCTTAGGGAGTTCCTCTGGTCATAAACATGAAGCCACTTCCGCTCGAAGTAGGAAGTGAAATGTATATTAAACCTTTCCCTGTCTACTAATAGACTTAATTAGAACCTTAACAGAATGGTTTCTCACAAGCTAATTGTGTATTACATATGATCAAAAGGTTTTTTTAGTATTTATACGAAGTTGATTTTTAGTAGAATGTTATAAGTTACTGAAGGACACTAATTTCGCTAGTGAAGTGGCTTCTTTATTTGTATACCTTCTGTATAATTACAGTCACTACAAAACTGGTATTTACATGATATGTACAGCAACAAATTACGCAATAGTGTAACGTTCACCTTTAGATAAGGTATGTCACACGAGATAAAAGTACAGTTACCAGAGCGTTTGTTTCTCTGAGCTGCTCTGATGATTTTCATGTTCTTTGTCTAGTCGATTGCTACAATGAATCAGTAAGTTATCCATATTGTGCAACAACCAAACACACCAGAAGACAACAATTTCTTACCTCTAGTCATAATGAATACACATAAAAAAAGCGCCTACACCTAATGTTTTGATTAATCACGCACGTATGTTTGGCCTACTCACACTTAATGTTCAAGTTTCAAGTGTTTTATAGAAGCTTGTATTAAAAATATTGTTTCTAAGAAAACACATTTGTGTTAAATTCCAATCTCTACATTTCACGTTTTACCGTTCAAACTGCTATAATTCTAAAATGTTTTTTTAATAAAAGCTCATTAATTTCGATCACAAGGTGATGATTATAATTACCATTTCTTATCGCTGATAGGCATAACTATTAAGAGAACTTAGTCATATCATTATCAGTATATTGTAGGAAGTGTAATAAACAAGAAACTACGTATTACATATCTTAGAAACAGTCGTTTATACACTCAGTTAAACTAATCGTGTGTTCCTAGTTTGTTCTCAGTATAACAAGTAGTTTTAAAGTGACTATCGCGGTTTTAATGTTCACAAAGATTGCTTAAAACCGTCAGTGCGATGAAATAATTTTACCTACACTCAATAAATATCAGAAATAGATAATTTTATGTATCTAAATTGTCTACATCAATGTTTAGCTTATCATGAACTTACACCCAACTAAGGCAAATTCTGGCATAACGTATGTACATGTGATAAGGAACAGTTTCTGGAAAATGTGTTTAACAATCTAAGTGTCGGAGGAAATTGTAACACTGAGCAAATTGTATATGAAAAATCCATAGTTACCGGAAGTCAAAGAGGAATTAAGCTTTTAAACACAGGAAATATAAATAATCTGAGAACAATAATTAAAAGCTAAGAAGAAATGTGTTTCACAAACAGTCCATTGCAAGGCTCCATTACAAAAGCCATGTCTTTCAAAAAAGCTGTTTGTGTTTTAATGCAAAAATACACAATGATCTATAAGCACTGTGTCCACCGCAGGAAACTGAGCCCCGGATGTTAACGTTATAAGTCCTCAAACGTACCGCTGATCCACCGAGTAACTCAGAAAACTAAAATGCCCAAATAAGTAAGGATAAATTACGTTAACATGGAATGAAGGTGAGATATGTCTGACATACACAGTCGAACAGGAAGTGCAAAATGTTCAATATCTTACATTCCAAATCTCAGATCAGTATGTTTTGGGTTTCTATGTGTAGGCGTAGTCGGTTGATCTGATGATGGCCACGGTAAAAGTTTAACGCTAGACTGAAAGGTTTTGTACGTGTAATATTTGTGTCTTTTCTAATTATTATGTATTACAAGTAGTAGGGGTATCTCATTATTTGTGAACGGTTCATGAAAACAATATCAAAATGTGTAGCAAAAGCACAAAAAGCTTACAGTTGTAAAGCACTGTTATGAAGTTCGGTGTAACTTGTAAGAATCAGTTGGGCTTGAAAAAAGTAAGAAAGCTGTCAACCTCTGGTCAATCCCTAATGGGTTAAAAGTTTACAACACTAAGTAGCTAGATAATTATTGGGAGGCCATCCATTTTTCTAAATTCAGTAAATTTGGAAGCTACAAGAACCCATATGATTATGAGACGTTTTTATCCGATATAAGGAAAACACATGTATTTGGCATAGTTTGAAGAAAGGTATATAAAAGACAGATCAGGAGATGTGAAAGCGAAGGACGTGTATTTGGCGTGGTTTGGAGAAAGGTATATAAAAGACAGATCAGGAGATGTGAAAGCGAAGGGCGTGTATTTGGCGTGGTTTGGAGAAAGGTATATAAAAGACAGATCAGGAGATGTGAAAGCGAAGGACGTGTATTTGGCGTGATTTGGAGAAAGGTGTAATAAAAGACAGACCAGGAGATGTGAAAGCGAAGGACGTGTATTTGGCGTGGTTTGGAGAAAGGTATATAAAAGACAGATCAGGAGATGTCAAAGCAAAGGGACAAACCGAGGGAGGGAAGAAAAAAGATATGTGTTATTGATATAGTAATAAAAAGAAATATGTTATGTTTAAATTTGGTACGATTCAATTCCTGATAGAAATAAGTACAAAGCTAAGTGGAAAGCGTAGTGCGATGACAACACGATTGTAACAAAGTAGACCCACAGTAGAGTGATGTTGGAAGATGACCACAACAAACTGGTGTCAGAAACCCAACAACGCCGACGTGAAATTCATCAAATCGTTAGGAATGGCAACCTAACAATGGAGAGAGAGTTTGAAGTTGGAATCACATCGATAAAAGCCGAGGAGGAAAGCCAACCAGGCTAAGCAGCTAAGTAAGTAAAGAGAGTAATTTTCCTTTTTGTTCTTATATTGCTGTTTCGGCTTTGACGATGGTTCCGTTATTTTTTACTGGTTATAAATTGCGTGGTTCATTGTTTAAGAGTAGAAAATTAATGTTAGGATGGCTGAGAATTGAGAATTACCGACAAAAAGTCAGTTGGTAAATAAATATAGAGAACTGGGTATAACATTTAGTAGCAACTGGAAAATAAAAAAAAGATGAGATACGTGAAGTTTCAATTGAGGCTGAAGTCGCAATAGATGATTTTTTTAACCTTGACCTTAGTAATATGGTTAAAAGAAAGGAAGCCAGAAAACTCACGTGAGAGGTGACGTTAGCGGATGAATACGTAGTGATGAAGAAACATAGTGGATTAAAGGTAGATGAGAACTACTTACCACAAACGAATAAAACTGGCTCAGTGCTCCCTGAGAACTGTAAGGCAAGCTTTTCCACAGATTGATTATGTAAATAAGGAAAAAAATTAGATATCTCCACCAAAATGTTTTATATGTGATCAAGTTAGGCATATAGCTAAATTATGTAGGCTTAATAAAAAATTGCAGAAAGAAGGGAGAATATGATGTGTTGTATTAAGTACTAAAAGAAAATTTCAGATAAGTATTTAGAAGAAGTGATAATAAATGGGTAAGCCGTAAATGCGTTAAAGGATACCGGTAGTTGGAAAACTCTGGTGAGAAAAGAGACAGTAAAAGAAAGTCAACTCGTTTGTGATAAATTAGATTTAATTGGGCTTAGCATCAGTGCAGGAGGGGCTCAGTATACTTTACTACTAACTAAAGTCAGTCATGTTCAAAGGTCAAGTTTTTGAAGGAGACGTAGTGGAAGGGGTGGCGGGTGGCATCCCATGGTATCACTAAATTTTACTGCCGGTCATTAGATTGCCGACATATCACTACCGCGACATTTTATTGCCGTAGTAAATTACGTCGATGCATTTTACTGCCGGCAAATAATTATGTTCTCAAAATGAAATATTTCCTAGCACATTGGCACCCCCAGTAGCACAGCGGTATGTCTGCGGACTTACAACGCTAGAAACCGGGTTTCGATACCAGTGATGGGCAGGGCACAGATAGCCCATTGTGTAACTTTGTGCCTAACTTGAAACAAACCTAGCCCCATGAACAACTTTATTCTCAAAAATTACAGTGAACTAATAAACTAGCGCATTAAACTTGATTAAAAATAAAATTACTCGAAAAACAGAATAATAGAATATGAATAATAATAAATAATATACTGGGGAAAAAAAGCTATCACTATATAGCAAATACCTACACTCTTCTTTACGTTTGCACCAGTACAAATTTTATTACGTACTTTTCGTGCTCAAGATTTTTTGACATGATTATGGTTAATTTTATAATATTCCGATAATATAATTTCTATACATGCAGAAAAATGAAATAATTAATTGCTGCATCTCCTTGCCGGCAGTTATTTACTACGGCATTAAAATGTCGTATGTCGGCAGTAGAATGTCATAGAACCTTATTCTATATATTGTTTTACGTAGTAATGAGGTAGAACCTGTCGGTTTGCAAAATACACCAGTGGCAGTGATAAAATGTAGCCAAAGTAGACAGAATTGGTCTACAACATAACTACGAGTTTATGAAAACAAGATAAAAGCATGTAGTAAAAGCGCGAAGAAGCTTACAGTTGCAAGGCTTAATGCTGCATGTTTTAAACCTATAAGAGCTTGCAATACTCTGTTCGAAACTGTTATTACCATACTCTACCCAGTCTTACAAGGCTTATAGTGGGTTAATAATTCTGGAAGCTAGGTTATTCTATTTCTTAGAAATTGTGCTAATTCATAAATCCATTTTGAGAATCCCCCTATGAATCAAAGGTAAAATTACGGACTTACAGTACTAAATCTGGGGTTCAATTCTCCGTGGTAAACAGATTCTATTGTGCAGCTGTGCGCTGAAACAAAATCAACAAACCCTTTGAAGAAAGGTGTGAACGGTTTAGATGTGTTTATGTCCATAACACATTAAAATCATTGAACGGCAATTTTATAAACTTGCATTTTTATTGTTTAGTTATGTGGTGATTATGAGAAAAGTCATTACTGAACATATTTAAAATGAGCCTATACTTGGTTAATGAAATATAAGTATAAAAACTTAATGCAATTGCTGGTAAGCCACCGATTACATAACGAATAGTAAGCTATTAAGTTTTTATCATATAATAACATACTTAAGCT